AGCATATTTTAAAAAAAGAACGTTTAAGGTTGTTTTAAGGACATTATCGGACATGCACTATGAAAGCCATTCTGAAGCAGCCAGGGGGGGATTCTGTATGAGCCAAATAGCAGAGACAGGACCAATCGTCAAAATTTTGGTGTCGATCATTCGATTTCATCCTGGACACTACAGAAAAGGGGCTAAAAGTGTTAAAAACCGGAATTTTCCTTTAATACCAGTTTCTATTTTTTTATTAGAATTCCTCAAGAAAATTCCCTTTATGATTTATTCACATATACTTATGGAGTAATTAGCCATTTCTGGAAAAACTTTCTTAAGAAAAGCAAACTAAAACAGAACATTTTAAGCAGTTATGCTTTGTATTGGTTCATTAAGCTTTAAAGTTTCATCCTAAGCCCTGACTGCACCTGCTTATTGTCCACAGCACAAGTGATAGCCGAAGTAGAAGGAGACATCTGTAATATGGGATTCAAGTAGGGTAAAAAAAAGTCCCAGTTAGCTCTAACTACAGTATGTTTTATTTATAACCATATGCCAGCGGGTCTCTGATGCGACCGCATTTTGCCTGACAGTCACAAAAAACCCACTGTTGGAAGGAACATGTTCATTTAATTATATGAAGCAAAAACAAAGAAAATGCAATATATACAAATATAATATAGACACATCCAAACCAAGCAAAGGAACAGACTGGATGTAGAAAGCGGCCTGATATCAGAGCTCAAAGCAGCTCAGGTGTCTTGATGAAAACAAAGTAAAACTAATTTAGTCAGTCCGACAATAATTTTTGTTCAGTATTTTGTTTGCAATTCATCAAGTTTAAATGTGGTTATAAGGGAGTTACTCAGATGAGCTCCAATTTTATAAATACAAGTTTATAATATGAACTTATTTCAATTCCTTACTAACTTCCAGGCAACATATTTATGTTGTTTTTAAATTGGGGATGGAAATGATAGCATGCCTAAGAATTAAATGCACATCGTGCAAAAAAAAAATTATATAAAAAAGGCCAGAATTCACTCCAATTATATTATTTTCCCTTTGAAATGATTAAACGTGAATTTAAAGAGAATTTTAGAAGGATTGTATAAGTAAAATACCAGTTTATGACTCTTTTAAGTGTGTTTACACATCAGCCTTTACAATTAGGGAAAAGCAGCAGGCAGCTGGTACAAACTGCAGCAACCTGCAACAGGAAGGAAAAAGGACACACTCAGCCACACAAGCCACGCTGTTACCATGGCAATGTCACAACATAAGCAACACACACACATGCACGACGCTGAACTTTAGAGTAACAATGGAGACGGCTGATAAAAATAAAAGGTACCAAAGTTTTTATAAATATCTCTTGTTTTAAAACAAAGGTTATCAGATGGGGTTTTTTGGAAACAAGTGTTGCACGACTTTCTTTAAATAAACGCTCTGCACAAACTTGATACATTCAGACATCCTCCATGGGGCTCAGCACCTATTAATGACGCCAGAGGGAGAAAAAACAAAACCCTTTGTTCAATCTCTCTGACAACACCTTAAAACCACCTAAGCTTTATCCTCACATCCAAGCAGGAGAGGTGGAGTAGGGAGTCCCCTGCTCGCGTGCCTGGGTGGAACCTGGAGCCAATTTTAAACCTCCTCTCTCATCTTTCAAGGCCACAACCTCAACCACACCGGCCGCCATAGCAGACGTACTTAGTGCGAACATCCCTGATGGGGTATTGGTTACGGTCTTAAAAGAAACCCAGGCCAAAAACACAGCTGAAGAGGGTGGAAGATGCAATGAGATGCTGCTGGATGGAAGTAAATAGGGTACATTAGGACTTTTCTTGTGCTACTAAAAATGCAGAATGCAAAGTTGCTTTCTGATTAAACAGAAACAGACTGATTGATTTTTCTGTGGAATCTTTGATCTGCTTTCTTTATTTTCCAAAATAGGCCTACATTAAAACTATTTTTCCCTGCCTATTAAATTAAAGAGGAGGCCTTCACAGAACATCTGTGAAGAATGGTTATGCACAGGTTCTACTGACATCTCAAATCATCAGGGCTACTTTCACCCAATCCCCGACAGGTATTCAAACACCAGTGCATAGATTAGTAAGCATGAATTGCCTTGTCCAGGATTGATTTGTTGAAAAATAGTCAATCCGAAATGAAAATTTTTTTTAAACTGCCAGAACAGCTGAAACTCACTGAGCTTGTAAATCAAGCCCAGTTTTGTTACTTGGATATAACGGATGACGTCATACACACGCCGCTTTGTTTTAAAAAAATATAAATATAATATATATAACCGCGGGATGTCTGGGGGGACAGTGATTTGCCTACATGTTATGAATGCTGGTGTACCATAAAGAAGAAATTATGAACAATTTAGTGTATGCCTTCAAGTCGTTGCCCATAGGAAGACGTTACCTGGATATAACGGAATATCTTCAGAACAGCTCCAAATGACACAAAACTCATATGGGTGAGTAGAACATGATGTAATAACGTAAAATCAAGGGCCAGATGTAAAAAAAAAACAGCATTCCCCTTTAAGCCTGTTTTGTTTCCCTGACCTGGAGGACTGAGGATTTACACGACCATCCAGTAAGACAGAAACTGTTCCCAGAAGTTTCACACCAGGTGAGCAAACCTAAAAACAAAGCTAGGCTTTCTTTTCATCAAAACAGTACAAATTTACTTTTTATAATAAAAAAAACTCAGCAATAACTTATTTGAGTAAAAAAATAAATAAAAACTGAAGTATACAAAGAAGTAGAGCTTGAGTTTTTGCAGTGATTGTTGGCAGAATCCACAAATAAGAACTTGACCACATTTAGATACAGACTACTCCTGTAACTGTATCCAAAGAATAGCCCAAAAAGTTTTATTTACTGGAAGTCATTAAAATCTAAATAAGTAATTTTTCTTTAAATAAGTGCATTTGTTCTTGAATTGAGGAGGTAAGTGAGACACCTTGCCAATGGAACATTTAAAATAAAAAATAAACAACTGCATTGTCTTATTTCAAGTGCATATTATCTAATTATCTTATTTTAATAGTATAAAATATTAATTCCATTGGCAGATCCTCTTATTTACCTAATCAAATTAGGGTTAATACACTTAAATTTAGAAATGTTGACTTTTTTCTAGATAGGTTTTTACAGCGAATACACCCCTGTCAATATATAATAGGAATATTAAACTCTAATCGAGGGGTAAACTTGATTTATCCACATTTGATGAAGAAAAAAAAACATTTTTCAAAGTTTATAAACATAGTGTCTTAAGGTTTTTTTAAGAAATATTGAATTTGTTGATGCTAGTTGCCATTTCAGTAACTGAATAGGAAGGAAAAAAATAAAGGAAGACATTCAGCTAGGGTCCAATGACTTTTAACTTGAAAACATTCCTTTAATAGACGTTAAAAGGGGATTTTATAGGGATGACTATTTCCTAATGAGATAAAATCCCCCATGTCTTTCATCTGTTTACACTTATTTCAAATGAATTTTTTGGACTGAAGGAACGTGTCCATCTCTGATCGTATGTGATGTCTTCATCTTGTTTGTGACTATTGTTCCCCCCCACACACATGCCTCAGTAACAGCAAACACAAACAGAACACTGTGAGCTGCTTTCACACTAGTTTAATTGAAACTGGATGATCACACATCCTGCTTAGGTAACGGAACATTTCCATTGTCTATTTTTATCAAAGTGTTGAACAGACAGCTGAGAAGTTGATGGTCTGCATCATAGATTCATAAGCAGCACTGAAAATTTTGTGATAGGAAGGTAGCATCATCTCCCTCTCACCAACTTCTATAAGATCAGCTGGCTTTGAAATCCTTCTCTAATCAGTGAAGTTGCAGAATAAAAAGGTTATAAGGTTATATTTGGATGTTATGTGAAGTCTTTATAACTCTTATTGCACTGACACCAGCCTCAGTCCACTCTAGAGAATCCTGTTGAGGATGTGGTTATCTCTGCTGATACTGCTCTTTTTCCTTCCTCTCAACTTCCATGAATATACTTGGATAAAGCACTTTATAAGCAACCAAATCTTTACCCACTAGGCCACTGTTCTGCTGTGACCTAGTGGGTAGTACTGCTGCCTTGCAGAAAGAATGTTCTGGGTTCGATTCCCTATCGGTGACAAGCTCACTGCGACACACTGCGGTGGGTGTATATCCAGCCCTTAAAGGCCAATTTATGCTTCTGATGCATAGCCTCTGCAACCGTCAAATCTGTCTCTGTGCGTGACCACGCCCCCCACACAGAGGTTCTGCAACCATTGTCACGCACCTCAAAAAAGTCCTGACTACGCGTTGGATGGTCGCAAACCCGCGCAGTCCTCAAGCGGATGTGCGCAGATAAAGATATCACACAGTTGGATCAAAAAGCAGCTTTGATTGGTCCTTGGTATGCCTTTCCGGCTGTCTGTGTGGTCGTCCTTCTCGATTCGGTGCCGGGGCACGCCATTTTTAAAAAAACCGAGGAACAAGTACAATGGACAACCTACGCGTCCTCCTTTGTCTTTTTTGCCAACTCCATTAACAGAACCAGTTCCTCTTCGATGTCTAGCAACTCTAGATCCAACTGTGTGATATCTTGCAGGCGCGCCATTGTTGTTTTGTTATATAAACACTCCCGCCGGTTCTGCCAAAGTTCTTGCGAGTTCTTGAATAGGCTCCCCCTTGCGCTTTGGAGGGGAACTGTTGTGCGTCCGTAGAAATTCCAGACCAACGGTGCAGAAGCTTACCAGCAAAGCTGGTTCTCGACCAGACGCAAGCAACATCTGATGTGTGCGGATGCAGAAGTATAATCTGCCCTTATTGAGCGTGACGGAAAATGGATGGAGGTTCTTTCAAGTCATCAGCAGTCATCTCCATGAGTGTCTACTCCACAATATGGCCATTAGATATAAGTTAACATCTACATATCAAAAATGCTTTGTTATCTCATGTAATATTTTGATTTCCATTCACTTTAAGCCATCTTACCATTGTTTGCAGTGTTGACATAATATTTCTTTCCTTGTGGAGACATGTAGCATCTCCAGTGAGGAGGCAGAGGATCTTTGATGTCCTCCACAGGATGCTGACTCAGAGACGCTGTCCTCTGTTGACAAGGAAAAGCAATAAATGTTAATGATCATGAAAGGGCTCATCAGCAGCATGGTAGCTCAGAGACAAACATTTATTTCCCAAGTGTCTTTTATCGTCGACATAAATTGCTGAAGATAAATAAATTACAGAAACAGACCTAGGTGAAGAAAGTGTCTAGAACTGAGATGGTGGGATAAAAAAAAACAAAAAAAAAAAACATTTTACATCTAAAATGATGTCATGTTGAAGCAGCTCTGCCACAAAAAAACACAACAAACTCTGGCAGTTCTTCATGGCGGATTGAGGCCCGCCGGGCTGGAGTCAGCGTATGTGCACACAGCACGGTTTGAATACATGAGAGCATGGAGGCAAATGTGCACATCTGTTACTGATTAGCAGGAAAATAAAGTGGAGAAACATTATGAGGAGATGCTGTTTGGAAACCTGAGAGAGCCAGAAAAACGTCCAGCTTCTGTTCAGAGATTGTGTTCAATTCTGATCTGACAAGGTTAAGTTTAGGAAGTACTGTAGCATGAAAGAAACGTTCAACTCTAGATTCTCCTTCCATTCACAGCAGCAGAGCTGTGGATTGTGATTAAACGAACACCCAAAATTTAAAAGTTGTTAGATGTGTAGATCATAAGATGGTCTTAAATCATCATATCGCCCACTCTTAGCAAATGTAGCTCTACCATAACATCTTTTTTAATGAGGTGAAAGTAAAAAGTAGTCCTAGAAATGACTAAAAAGTACCGTAATATCTGGACTATAAGCCGCTAGTTTTTTTCCCCCCCACGATAAGAAGGTGTGGCTTTTCTGTGGATTTTTCCTAAATGCCAGAAGGGGAAGTCCAAGTTGGAAATAAAAGAATAAGGGGCTAATTTTCAGTTAGCACAAGAGCATGTTAGCAGCAGGCAAAGTGGAGAACAAATGTCTCGAAATTCACACATTTTGACATTTATTTGCTGCATTAAAGCTGCCGAAGCAATAAAGAAATTTGGCCAAACTCCTGTGGAGCTGAAATAAAGAGCAGACAAAGCCCCAGCTTTCAGTAAGAGCTCTTACTGCTGCGAGCTAACAAGCAAACTGGAGCTAACATTGTTCTTCATCCCCGTCACTACCCGTCCCGGAAGCACGATGTGCATGCACAAACAGATATACATTCGGGTGTCCATAAATAAGGTAATTATGGTACTAAAACTACTTATTGCTATCCTTAACTCACTAAAGAATAGTAAAAGACATCTGTAAAAAATGTTTTATAACTTTTATGAGACAGTTTGTATACTTTTTACATTTTCTTCGTCAAACTGCTTCTCTGACGTCATCAGACATGCTCAGAGCAGTCCAGCAAAATATGATTTTAGTTGTTTCTTTCTTTAGATAACGATTATATAGCATAAGGATAAAACGAAAGGAAAACATAAAACTCAAAAAGACTAGATTTATGTTTAAATCCAAAGCCAAAAAAGTTAGCTTCCGGAAGTAGCGCAGGATCCCATTTCTGGTGCAGATCAGACTGAGACGAGTGATGAAGCAAAAGATTTAAAGGCATTTATTTTTTAACCTTTAACACAATATATTTTAGTATGTTTACTATTTTTGGGAAGGGAAAACATAATTTAGGTATTTTAACAAAATAAAATCGAGGATGACTCAGATGTATATCTAGACGCGCAAATGAGCTGATGGCGCATGCGCAGAACGGATTGTGCTTCCGGGACGGATCAGATAGTGAAAGTTCCTACTCCAGGTGCTGTAATGTAGGGCTCCCCCTACAGGTTTGGTGGGAGACTGTTTAGTAGATATCGTCTGCTTATATACGTACGTTTCCATTTTTTCAAAAAAAAATGTAATGGCCGCAGCTTATAGTTAGGTGCGCTCTAGAGTCCGAAAAATATACTACATGATGAAATTGCTACTAAAGTATTGAGTATTTATTGGCTCATTATATCAACTATTTACATTTATGTTACCAGAGTTGTGTGATAATTCCGGTGTTGCAAAGTATAAATTACAATACAAAAAAAATAAAAAATTATCAAATAATTTCAACACAAAATGTTTTTCATGCATGTGTTGGATTATCACAATCATCGCATTTAAGCAGTGTAGGGCATGAAATAATACGATTTAAGTAACTAAAGATGCTTTAATAGATCCATCATAGCCATAAATTCCTTTTTTGAATCTGTGCAGATGAAACACAATTTAGAAAAATCTATTATTGAACATCAACTAAAACCTATTCTAACAGCAAGTAATGCATATGGGAGGATAGGATAAAAAAAAAACTTGAGCAACATTATCTAATTCTGACTGCTTCATTTGATCTCTGATTAGTTCAACTTACTCTTGGTGGGTGGAGTATTTAGAGAATTTACTTAGAATAGTGATACTCTATCAAGAATATTGCTTAAGAGAAATTCAAAAATTAGAACAAATACTAAAACTTTTTCTTAACTTTATTCAGGTAAATGTAACTAAGTAGAAGATCATTGGTAGTACCTACTTGTTTCTCTTTTGCAGTGTAATACCTGAAGATCTAACATGTAGTTGACAAATACAAATCAGCAATAACTAAGAATAACAGTTCTTTTCATTTTAGTCATTTTTTCCACATCATGGTTTTTTATTTTTGCTCAATGGGGAAGTAAATATAGTTATCACAGGATGATTGGCAGGGAACAATACACCAAGGAACAAAATCAAAAAGATTTTTGTCATCATTTTGTTTGTGACCCCTCCAAAAAAAAAAAACGTATTTTGTTTTCCTATGTATTTTTGGGGGGATTTAGGCCAGATAAAAAAAGTTTAAGAAGAACATGTACTTAAAACAACTTTGGATGTTTAGGTAAAGTGGCTGGGTTTATAACTGATTTAGGACATTTTCTAACTTATACAATATGTGTTAAACTAAATCTTCTCTTGTGTTAAAAAAACGAATTAATTATGACACCACAACACAGCTAAAGGAAGTTTGAAATGCAACTAGCTGTTGTATTAATAACAGAGCTAAAGGTTCCCGTAGAATTGATGATGTACAGATGATGTAAATGGTGAAACATTATCTGAGTTTCCAGTGATAAATGCAACAAGTTTAAATTAAAGCATTAAATCATCCTCCAAAAATAGTCTGAAAACCTCTGTGTTATTTTTGATCAGGACTTGTGATTTGAAGCTAATACAAAAAAAAAAAGGTTTCTTAAATTTTCTATTTTAGTATCCAGAAAATTGCTTTCCTGGAATAGAAATACAAAAGAATACAAAATTCTATTTATACAGAAATGTATGTTTAAACATTCGAAAGCTATTTTTTTATTTTTATCTGCAAAGATGTTCTTTTTGTGATATCAAATGTAAAAATAATAAAAATAAATTATGATCTTGTATTACTATTTGCAGTAAGCAACCAAAAAAAAAGAAGCAAAAAAATAAATAAAAACCAATTGTTAGTTTTCTAAATTGCAAAAAAAAGAAAGCACCCAACTTGGCTGCACTGCAAAAAAATAAATCTAGACAAGTAAATTTTTTCTTGAATTGAGGAGGTTTGTAAGACACTTTCCCAATGGCTCAAGACTATATACATTTAAAAATAAAACGAATAAAAGAAAAAAGAACAAGAATTGCATTGTCTTATTTCAAGTAAATATTATCTAAGGTCTTTTTGAGGAAAAGTGTCTACGAAGTGTATGACAAAAATAGAAAGGCCCCAGAAGAGGCTGATATATCCCAGAATGCTTTGCACAGAGAACTCTCCTTATAAAGCACTACTGGATTTGCTTTCACAGCGCCCCGCTGTCGCCGTAGGCCGTCGATACCCGACAGCTGCGACTATAACAAAGATGGCGAAGGCACCGGACCAATGGAGCAAAAAGCAGTGATCATCTGTCCAAACGGTCAGTTAACTGAGTTCGCTATAAAGTCCTCTATATAGACCCCGCTCTATATAGTGATTGAGGGACTTAGGGGTTAGGTAAGCTTGAGTGAGCTATGAGATCAGCAACTTTTAAACAGAGCGTGCACAAGGAGAAATGGGTTGTGCATGCTCTCGCACATGCCAAGTGGAGAGGGCCGGTCAAAAAAAAAGACTTCCTAATTCTCATAAGTTTTGACTTTTGACAAATAATGATCAGCAAAGTTAAGTTCTGGCTTTGTTATGTAAACAAACCTGGTTAGAACAGAATAGAATAATTAAATCTAATATCATAAATTACTGCCTCACACAGTTGCTTTAACATGGGAGAAACGGGACAACAATATAATTTAATTAGATATCACATCCTTAGACTTTAATCTATAGAGATTATTTCATCATTCTGTTTCAGTTCTGCCCAAACAACTTTATGTGCTGATTTACAGCCAGTCTCATCCTGAGAAAGAGCCTTTAGAACCACAGGGACTAAAACCACAACATGCTGCTGAGGCTGGGATGATACCGACCATCTCTGCTCCCACAGGGTAGCAGAATATGAACATGTGTGGGTTCAGGCTGCATGTAATTACACAGTGTCCACCAACATGGCAGCAAAGTTTCCACTTTGATGGTCTCGGAGGCTGAAGTTATGTTTGGGTGTGTTTTGGAAAAGCGGAACTACTTCAACCAGATGAGAACAATGCTTATGAATGACACAATGAACAAACAAAACATGCCATTACAATAAATAAAAAGCAACTTCCATCTGTGGAAGTTGCTGCAGATGGTGGTTGATACAGTTACAGTAGAAGCTCTTAAAGGAAAAGTCCGGGTCATGTTCAAAATTCAAACTTCTGAAAGTACTTTAAATATGAAATTATTACATACTGTTCAATAAATAAGTGTTTTTAATTGAGAGTAATTTTCATTTGAATGTGCATTACTGGAGACATCCATGTTTGTCAAAGAACACTACTGCCATCTACTGGTTTGTGACGTCATGGTGCAGTATCGGCTGTTGATCAAGTCCCAGTGCTTTATCTGTCATCTTGAAAACATTCTTCTTCCAAATGTTGGCTACATATTACGTGTTTTTT